TGCAAGAATTAGTTTTGTTGTTAAAAATGCTTTACTTAAATGATTTAAAAAACATATCCATATAATATATATTATATTTAAGAGCAGTAATCTCCTGCATAGGAAATTAAAAACCTATTTATTTTATTAAAACCAAAAAAGTATGTTATAAAACCAATAGGCAGTTAACAAGGTAATCACTAGAGTGTTTATTCTAATTTAAAGCAACATTTCTTTTCTGGAAACAAAGTGGTTTTATGAGGGAAGTAGAGCCAGCACCTCATAAGAATATAGGTCATAATTATAACCTATAACTTATTCGGTCTCGCTCTCGCTTTATTTAATAGTATTATAAGTATTATTACGATTACGACGCTTGAAGCATTTTCTGGGACACCTTTTTTACTTTTCTATAAAAGTTGCCACTGCTTTTCACTTTATCTCACTTGTCGAATAATTTGGTTTTAAAGTTTAAAATGCCTTAATATATTGCAATAGAGACAAACTGCTCTTGAGAAGCTAGCACACAGAAATATAATAAAGCAAATTAAAGTATTAGCTGTAAAAAGTACTTATAGCATAAGCAAATAGTCTTAGAACAGTTTCCTCCAGAAATGTGGTTTTAACTGCTTCCATAAAACATACTTTTTTAGAACCCTTAAAACCAACATACTGCTATAAAGCTAAATAAGCCTTAAGGGTATTATGATTAAAGATTAAATATGGTTTTATAACGGTATAACTGGGATCCCATGGTTTTAAAAGTAGGTTTTGTTGTGTCTAATAAAGCTTTCTATTAAAGTAATACGGTTCTAAGAACAATTAACCTTTGTGATAACTTCCATGAACCCAAATATCTTTTCAAAGAGTGTGATAAAGCTTTTACGTAAAAGCCAAGAGTCACATGTGTTACTTGGGGATGCAATGTGAAATTTATTTAATGCACCCCCCAGCTGCCGATGACGGTGGTACAGAAACAAAAGTTGTCACAGTTCGTGCCCGGATTATAACCGAAATACAGCTCGAGAAAAATGTGTTTCCAAGCAAAAATCTACAGATTCGCTTTTTATTATTTTACTGGTACAGTTGCAACGTCATCGGCTTTATTCTTATTTAAATCTCGAAGATGTTTTGCAAATAGACTGCCACTTAGCAGAGGAAACGCGCTAACTCTTTCCCAATATTTCGATTGAGAGAAAGCGTATTTGGCGCGTTTAATCAACTGTCAATCAGCAATGATTTATTAGGAGATTATCAATCAATCCTCTCGGCAGCATACCACAGATAAATAAACACCGGATCGACATTAACATTAACCCCGAGCGAAGGCGAACAGCAACAGCAACAGTGGAGGTCGAGACACAACAACACCGAACGCAAATTGTTAATGGAAGATTATCCGGCGGCGGGCAATTGACGAGGGTGGAGCGGCGATCGGCGGCCGACAGACACGGGATTTCCATTTGGACGACGTCAAGGCCTGCCCCTATCCGATCGCGTCTTAATGCAGACGATAAGCGGAGTGATAATCCGCGATTAAACCTAAAACGGACCGGTTCGAACGGGATTACGAACGCGCCACTTCGAACCGAAACGAAGTGTTTTAGGCGGAGAAAACGATTCAATAAGGTGAGAAACTAATTCGTACATAGACAGAGACTGGTTGTATTTGTTAATAAGACTGATTTTCCGTATAGCAGTATCATTACCAAATCTCATCTTACATGGCCAATTCTGAGGTGGTACTTTCACAAAAAGGTTCGATATGACCGATGTTGCAAACTGTTCTGGATTCTCATCCACAAATGCTGAATATTTTCAATTTCTTTATAAATATTAAAGGTACCTCAAACAGAAATTCGGGAAGAAAGAAAGTCTAAGTAGTGGTTGCAATTGAGATGATCTGGAAACCTAAATGTACCAATTAATGGAAAATGCTTGCTTTTCACTGCGTGTGGATTGACATCTGCACAAACATGTTTATTGTGGATTTTTGTTACACCACATCGGCAAAATTCAAATGAGATCCATGATCAACAGCTAGCAGTTCATGAACAGGCTGAATATAATAAGAACGAATGAGTTGCTCTCTGAGAACTACTTGCCGGGTTTCTATTGGTTCCAGGATTCTTATGTACCATTTCCAGAATTAGCTCTCTTGCCCTATTAAAATTATAGATAGACAATCTAATCCACAAGGGGGCGTGCTGTAGAAAAACGTGGCTGTTCGAGAAGCGCAATGAAAATGAACATAAACATAAACCACAGATAAATTCTTCTCTTTGTCCCTAACAAAACATTTTTTAATTACGCACATTTTGATGTATAATTTTCATATTTTTTTGGAGATTCAAATAGAATATAAAATTGTGATTTCAGCAATATGCACCTTTTGGGCTGATAGTTTCGGATATATCAGAGTAAATTTATAGCTTTTAATAATCTTTTGATGTTTTATAGTTTTTATTAAAAGACCTTTTTGGTCCTTAACTTTAATGACCCAAGCAATTACCTCACAGCAAAATTCCTAGGTCTACACACCAATACCAATCTCTCAAGGTCTAAACACATACAAGAAATATTGAAAAAAACTGTTAAGAGCAACTTACACCATAAGAAGAATGAAAACCATAGCAAATCAAAAAATAGCAAGAATGACATACTTCGCAAACTTCCATTCCATTGTATCCTATGGAATTTTATTGTGGGGAACTTTACCAGAAACTATTCGTGTTTTCAAACAACAAAAAAAAGGCTATGAAAATATTATGCAACCTTGGCTATAAAGACAGCTACACAGAGTCTTTCAAAGCGGAAAAAATTCTTACAATAACGAGCACATTTATACATATACGGGGCAAAATTTACCAAGTGTACCAGGTGAAAAAATTTTTGTCACCGATTTTGTTTAAACTTTACTTATTTGTTGTTCTTATAACGAAGAATGCTATGGCATACATTTTTTTTGCTCTAGGATTGTTCATTCAAGAGTTATAGATTATTGAAAATTATCGATTTTTTACTTTTTGGTGAAATCGCTTTTTATTTAAAAATTCATAACTTCTGTTCATCTCTTTATTAAATATTTTAATTTAACCACCTTAAATGACCGTTTTTAAAAAAAATAAAAATTGCAATTTTTTTTTGAAAGTTTGCAAAATTTTGCATTTTTTGAAACAATGTGTATTTTTAATTTTTTTTTAAAATAGCATAAAATCCAAGTTTATTATGTTACCTTTAAATAAAAAAAAATTTAGAGTGGGCCCGACATGTACAAGGGAAGTTTTTCATATTTGAATACCGCACGGTCTAGCCATCGAATAGCTACTACACTGCCGTATGCGTTTATACCTAGTAGATGCGAGTAAACAAATATAAAATGATAATTTAAAATGTAAAATTATGTTTGAGTAGTCAATGATGTATTTTAAATATTTACACTGCCGCACGATATAGTTTTTTTTATTGTGTATTAGTCCTTCCTTTAAGCCCGCTTTAAGCCCGCGGTCCGTTCCTACCCCTAACCCGCACAAGCCATTCAGTTGGCTTATGGGACTTCTTAAGAAGTAAGGGTGGAACTAAAAGAGCACTTTTGTATATAAACTGTATTTTTTTGCACAAATTGTTTAAGCATGGGTCTACATAGATTTCGCAAGGAGAGTCGATGATATTAAATAAAAAATGTATTGTTATAACCGTAAAGGCGCCATTTAGCTTATAGGCAAGCCGTTACGGTTATAACAATAAATTTTTTATTTAATATCATCGATCCTCCTTGCGAAATCTATGTAGACCCATGCTTAAACAATTTGTGCAAAAAATACAGTTAAAAAACTATATCGTGCGGCAGTGTAAATATTTAAAATACATCAATGACTACTCAAACATAATTTTACATTTTAAATTATCATTTTGTATTCGTTTACTCGCATCTACTAGGTATAAACGCATACGGTAGTGTAGAGCTATTCGATGGCTAGACCGTGCGGCATTCAAATATGACAAACTTCACTTCTACATGTCGGGCCCACTCTAAATTTTTTTTTTATTCAAAGGAAACATAATAAACTTGGATTTTATGCTATTTTAAAAAAAAATTAAAAATACACATTGTTTCAAAAAATGCAAAATTTTGCAAAATTTCAAAAAAAATTGCAATTTTTATTTTTTTGCAAAAACGGTATAGCCCATTGAAAAGTACGGAAAAAATCATTTAAGGTGGTTAAATTGAAATATTTAATAAAGAGATGAACAGAAGTTATGAATTTTTAAATAAAAAGCGATTTCACCAAAAAGTAAAAAATCGATAAATTTCAATAATCCATAACTCTTGAATGAACAATCCTAGAGCAAAAAAAATTTATGCTATGATTCTTCGTTATAAGAACAACAAATAAGTAAAGTTTAAACAAAATCGGTGACAAAAATTTTTTCACCTGGTACACTTGGCAAATTTTGCCCCATACACAGCATTAAAATATGTATATAACAACATAAATCTTTTTACTAAAAATTGTGATATACATGTATTTCTAATTCTTGTGTATTATCTATTCGTCTCTGCAAAATACAATTTAAAAAAATGGCCGACGACGTCATAGCTTTTACAAAAATGGAGGCAAATGTGAAAATTGTACAAAATGTGCGGAATTAAAAAGCAAAATCGACGTGTTCAAGGATTGTTTTAGTGAATTTATTTGATCCATACTTTTGCCGGTCACTGTATATGAAGAGTATAAGATCGTATTAAATTTATCGGAGTAATCTTAGCAAAAAATAAGCACAATGATAATAAAACATTTTAGGAATCATAGTAAAACTATAAATAACCCGGAGTGTTTTTTCTTTTAATACTAAAGACATACATAACTTTAGATAACATGCCTATTTTATTTATTGGGTTTTTATTTAAAAATGTAAAAGGAAATTAAAAAATGTACAGTTGTAAAAAATACGTTTTATCAGGACAATACTGCACTGTATCAAGAAACAGAATTTTTTTCAAAAATAAATCGTTTTACCTGCATATATCCCCCTTCACAGTGGCTAGCGTTGAGCAAACTTCCAACTTTGAATTTATTGAACTTAATCCTTAAAATCCAGTCTTTGGGTGTTCCCCGGAACGATCTAAACCGGTACCAACATGTCATTGGTTTTCCGACATTTTCTGGCGTTAGTTCTGGACTCGCCACATCCTCGTAGATATCAACTGTTTTGTTGCAATGGTCCTTTTTGGCCACATCTGAAACTTAAGGAATTTACGTTAATAAATGGACAATATTAATTTCCTAGAATGTTAATTTCAACATTGAATACTTTTGTTTTCTTTTTGAAAAAAGGTTCATTTAAAAGTATTACAATGTTAACGCTTTTACTCCTAAACTTGTAATTATAACAGAACAACCTTAACAACCTAAAAACTATGCAAGAACACAGCACAGCGGGCAAGTAGAAAAGCTTATAAGGTATATCGTAAAATGTCCAGTAGTTGTTGTGTCGACTTTTTTTCGCTTGCAGTCCGTTTCTACGGCAAACTGGAAGCTGCACCGGAAATTCGTTTTATTCGGCCCGGAAACTAAGTTTAAGCTCCCTGATAAAGGACACACTCTACGAATTAAATGCTGTCTCTCGTTTGGTTGTTTGCCAAAAGAGGAACATTCGAGCCTTGCTGTGTTTACCTTAAATACTACACTGTAGATTTTAATTAGAGGAAAAGGTCAAGAATCGTTTGGATTAAACTTGTGCGCAAAAAAAAAATACCAAAAAAGTAGTGGTACAAGGTTTTTTATCGAAAAATAAAATGTTTTTTTTTTAATTTAATGTTAAAATAGAAGGTTTAATATGAGACAGTCTGAAACATATACGAACATGTCAAATATTGTTGAACGTTTTCGGTTTAATGTTATCTAAACAATGTAATATATGTAAGTTATATTTGACTGACTGATGCATTGTGAGGAGGTATATTGTTGCATTTTGTCAACAGCTAAACTTTTAGCGCCTGATTAATATTAAGGAACGCCGACAGTGCAGCAAATTGCAAAATATTAATACCCAAGGTGTTTGTCTAAGTGTAGTTTTAAGGCGGTTTATAAAATAATTCTACTCTTTAGTATTTATCGGGTGTGTCTGCAATTTTACTTTTTATTTCGTTAAAAAATGATTCGCGCTCGCCCGTTGGGAAGAAAAAACAGAAGCAATTTTTATTTATGCTAAAGATGGATGTAATTTCCACCAAGGAGGGTATTTACTAAAAAGTATTCACACGGAAAAAATTACATTTCTATATCCAAAAATAGTTCTATATTTATAATTTTATATTTGACCCATTAATAATTTACTAAGTAAAACAATACTTTATTATTCATTAAAGTATTTGCTTTATATTTATTTTCAACTATTTCAATATTCATTTTAAGTATTTTTTATTTAAACAAAGAAACAAGAAATTTTATTAAATAAGGGATTGTTCTTAAATTAAGTGAAAATGTTTTCTCTTTTAAAATCCATATAGGTTACTGCCATTTAAATGAACAAAAAGCAATTCATATTTGCCAAAATATCATTATTTTTGAAGAGAGTATAATTATTCTTAAATAACATGCAAACGTGAGTCAACCTGCAGTACATAAAGGAAAGGCTGGGAGTCCCAGTTTAGCACTGGAAGACGCGAAGCTACCATTTTGCTGGGTGATACGTAACCACAACGTGTGTTTTTGACTTTTGTGTGCTAAAGATGACATGGATCTTCTATTAAAAAAATGGAATTTGGACTTATTAATTTCAATATTTGATAAGGTTAATTTTTCCTATTTAACAATAACGGGCAACGGGAATAAACAAGGAAAAATACCGAGAAAATGCAAAAAATTATTAGGCACAGGTAGGTATTTGGGTATTTTGGGTAAAAACAAACCGTTATTTATTATAATATATTATAAACTATAGGTTTGTTCTAGCATCAAATTTCTGACAGTTTGAGGCTGGTTTAGTGGATAAAGCAACTGCGCGTTTCGATCTAAAGTCTTGTTGCAAACGGTTTGGGGCCATTTTCTGCTAGTTCTCACTCAACGATAGAATGCTTATTTCGAACCGAAAATGTGATGCAGTACCTACTGCAGTATCTACTGCCTCAATAGAGTTACCACTTTTTACTAAAATAAATATAAAAACAACTATTTTTAAATAAAAAATACTTCAGAGTAGTATTAGTAGTTGAAATAAGTAAAGGGTGATTCATTTAGACCTTTTTTTTTAATTCTAAATACTTAAAACGCATAAAATGGAATTGGATGGCGGAATCTTTATTATGACCTGAAAGAACGATTTTTGACATTTATTTTTTTTTAATAATTTTATTTAAATGCTGGCAGCGACTACGCTATACGTGGTCGGAAGGTCCAATTTTCGATCACTCGCGCATTGCGACCGGTATCTGTCCAATTACCCGAGTAATGATTTCTCAATAAAGCTATTGTTTCGCGCATTGTGTGTGCCGTAGCTCCGTCTTGTTAAATCAAAAGTAGATAAGCCAGCTACGATTCAGGACTAAGAAGCCAAGTTCTTTCAGGCCATAATAAAGATTCCGACATCAAATTCCATTTTATGCATTTTATTTAGAAATAAAAAAAAGGTCTAAATGAATCACCCGTTATAAGAAATATTTTGAAATAAAATTATAAGTAGTTTTTTAAATAAGAATACTTTATCATGGAATCTAGCTTAATCTTAAAACAATATTTAGGCTATTGTTAAATTCAACACAGGCGTATTCTGAATATAAGTGAAACTTACCTAAATTCTTAAGAATAGGGCTATATTAGAATCAAATATTACGTTTTCTTGTGGAATAGTGAAACGAGTATATTCTTGGGCAAACGCTACTATTCTTTAATATATTGAAGCTTTTTTTCACAATGATTCAAGATATAGCTCAAGCTAATCCTAACGAATTTGACATGGAGATCATTCCATAACAAACGAAACTGAGGGTGAAAAAATGAATATGTTCTTTTCCCATTAAATTTGAATTTTGAAAGAAAACATTTTAAATTATAATGTGCGACAAAAAAAACTAGAAGAAAGGTAATTATTAAGTTAATTAGTCTTCAAAATATGTACTCAAGTGAACTGGCTGAATGACCATTGAGCCTCTAACTATTGGAAATACAAAAAAAAATGTCAATCTGTCAACCGTTTTGCAACGTTGTAATTTAAGGTTATTTATCGTAGTATCGGTGAACTGCGTCAGAGTCCCGAAAAAATTGATAATTATCACGTTATAAGTGTGTTTTCTTCTTACTTTGACACTGTAACACCCGAAACGAAAAATCAGGTAGTTGTTTTATTATTATACCTTACAGATTTATTAGTGTAATATTATTTAGTAAAAGTAAGGTTATGCTGGTAATGATTTAAAATACTAACTAATAAAAACTAATAAAAACTGTACCACCCGAAGCGTTTCGGGTATTATAACTTTTTCATATATCGATATATGTGTGTGTATTGCTTGAAGAATGCAATAAGTATTATTTTTAAGGCAGTAACACACCTTTCAAAGAGACTGCTTTTCCAATGTAGTTGTCGAACCTACCGAAATTTCGGTATTCCTACCGAAATGGCAACGGACCTACCAAAATACCGAATACTAGGATTTTCGTCAATAATTATGTTTCTACCGATTTTTTTTACGAATTTTTGGCAATAATAACGATTTTACTCTTTTTGCTAATTTATCAATCGTACCCGAAGTTATGTTAAAGGAAAATTTATTCTATTTATGTTTATTTTTTACTTACTTCTTTTGTAGTACTTATAGACTAATAAAATACCGATTTTGTCCATATAAAGTGTTTTTGTACTTGTAACACCCGAAAAAAAGTAAAATAAAATTAAACAATAATAAAACGTTACCAGTGATTATGTGGTATTTAGATAGTTAGTAAATATTATACTTTTGAAGGGGTAATTTTTATAAATGTTTCCCTAAGAAAATTCGCTGAATTTCAAATACCTATATGTAACAATGGTCAGTACATAGAGGCAGAATGGTGAAACACCCGAAACGCACACTTTTCGACTTATAAAATCGTTATCCTATATGCTAAACTGTACTAATTTTACAATTTAGATATATCTATAGAACAACAAAAAACGTATTAAACGTATAAATATTATTTCAAAATACATAAACTTTGGTTAAACAAATATAACACCCAAAACGATGGAATGACCCATGGAATAATATTCCAGCACATTATTTTAGGGATTTTAGACAGTGACTTAATGAAAGGTGGATTGGTAGGCATGGTCCTACCCAATGACCGGCTTGTTCTCCTGATTTAACGACACTTGATTTTTTTGTGGGGTTTTTTAAATCTGAAAGACTATATCACCGAATCGGGATCTAAAACGGATTAGACGTGAATGTACGAACATTACACAAGAAAAGTTTGAAAATGTGAGAACTGATATTAGAAACAGACTATTTTTGTGTCAAAATGTCCAAGAACATCCAATTTGATGAATAATTGGAATTTATTGTACAGGGTGATCCCCTATAATGTCGCCCCCCTTTAACTTTTTTATTTTAAGTGTCCCAAAAAATTTAAAATTGTGGTTATGTATACATAACCACAATTTTATAGGAACCAAAAAATACTTTTTTTCTACGTTTAAAGAAAATTGGAAAATTGATTAGTATACAGGGAAAAACAAAAAGTTTTTTTTTTCAATGGATCACCCTATATATGTATTTATTTTTCGATTCCTTGTAAAATTCTAAGCATATTTCATATAACATACCATATACCTAAACTCAACTGTTTCTGAAATATTCAAATTATTTTTAAGATAATAAGTTGAAATAGTTTGTCTTTTTCTTTCTGAGTACGCCATTTTTACTTATTAAACAAGACATATTGACATAGTGTCATTATAGTAATTTATTTTCAATAAAAATTTTGGTATACTGAGGCTTCTTACTTTCTAACAGTTTAAAAAAACATTTAATGATAACATTTCGAATGCGAATATTTCAGAAACAGTTGAATTTAGGATATGCTTTGTTATAAGAATTATGCTCAGAATTTTACAAGGAATCGAAAAATAAATTCATATATAGGGTGATTCATTGAAAAAAAATAAACTTTTTGTTTTTCCCTGTATATTGATCAATTTTTCAATTTTTTTTATACGTAGAAAAAAAGTATTTTTTAGTACCTACATAACCACACTTTTAAATTT